GGATAAATTATTTTACAATAATTTAGTATATATAAAATAAAAATAGCCCTAAAAAACACATTATCGACCATTTTTGATTTTGTCATAAATTTTGAAAACGGGTCCATAACACTTTAGCGCACTCAAGTAATAGGTAGTTTTCAACATCCGCAATAAAAAATAGTTCCAACTTGGAAAAGCCATATTTTTGAATTTTGACTATAATCCGCAATTTTTTTTTTCAAAAATCAAGAAGTACCTTTCTGTAGTTTTATTTAAAACATATGTCAAATCTGTAATTTTGTTACACTAAAGTGATATGTCACCTTGAAAACATTTTAGATTTTACAAAAAAAAAAAAAAATGTAGTTTAGACTAACCGTAAACTTTTTTAATGAATTTTTAATTTTATTAAAAACAAAATTGTTTGAAAACATCTATTGGTTGAAAAGGTTAAAAAATAAATAAATTCCTGTTTAAATAATTTGTAAAATATTTAAGACATGTTAATAAATAATCAATTTAATATCCATATATTAAAAAAATTACTCAATTTTTATTAAAAAAACTTAGTAGTACTTACTTCTGTTCTGCTCATCTTGACAATCAGCCAAAAGTTAGCTCATTTGTCTACCAAAATTATTTAAATAATTCTTTGTTTGTAGTTCTTTGTGCACTCACCACTCAACACCGTTTCTTCAGCAAACACTATACCAGCCAATCAAATATCAATCAAATGTCACATTAACTTAGATGGACATTACCATATTTGCTATTTTTGCAAGAGAGGGCACCTAGTATTCGAAAGAAAGCATTTAAAAACTTATTTTGATTAAATCCATTGTTCTTTGTTGATTAGGCCGTTTTATATATCTAATCGTACACACATTTGGAGTATGTGTGTATTGAAAACAGTTTCATATTGTATTGGTTTATTTTGATGATTCTACAGGGCGATTCGACGCTCCGGTGAAGATGCACGAGTTTCCCAAAAAAATTACTCATTCCATATAGTGAAATAATAAAAAAAAAAATGTGAAAAACAATTTTCTTGACAACAATTAAATCAAAAGTTGCGAAATTAGGTAATTTTCATACATTGTTGTGAAAAGTTTCAGTCATAAACAAGATAAATACGTGAATATTATCAATATTGAAATATTTAATAATAATTGTAGAATTTTTTAAAAAACTTGGGACAAGAAAAATTCTAATAAATGAATTAAGACGCCCCTGATACATATTAGATGAATCACAAAATTGAATAGGAATCAATATGGCAACGTTGCAAACTAATCGACAGAAATTATTTTATGAGTTATTTTTTTGTACGTTTTATTCAAGTTTCTTCAAATTTCAGTTCTAAATCTATGATAAGGTGGCTTATTTTTCGATTAGGATGAATTCTTAAAATTCATAGAACATTTGTTAAACTATATTTTTATGATAAGACAGTGGCGTTCTTTCTAGTTATTTCTATTGTCAATGACACGAATAACACGAAAAAGCTAAGAGCAAATACGATTTAAACTTAACGTGCAGGGAAAATTAACTTTTGAAGGTTGGCAACCCTTCCGAGGTTGCCGATATGATATAGCGAAAATACTTGATTCATCAATCAACATTCGTTGGCAGGTTAGGTCGTTTCGGTCGATTTGTTGTGTATTTACAAGAAACAGTCATTTTCATTACTAAATAATTATTTTCATAACTAATTGATTGTGTCAGTCTTCAGCGTTAGGTGAAAATTCAAAAATATGTAAAATGCCTAAAGCTTTAACTAGAAAATATTAAGATATGGTAACAGCTCTGCTAAACTAGATGGCTCAATCAAATACTGCCACAATTAAAATATTATTAGGCATTCCAAACAAAATGGCTACCAGTGGGTTTTGACAGGTTATGTTATGACAAAATTATGGCAACCCTGTAGGCCTGGTGATTTGACAAGGTCAATGAAATAGATAGT